GCACAGGACCGCGAGGCAGAGGAAGGCGAGGCGAGCCATTAGGACGCGCTGCTCTGCTAACCCTTTCACTACTGGACCCCCGGGCCGTCCGTACGCCGGGGTACGAAAGGCGTAATAATCTCGTTTGTCGGCGCCGCTGAGGCTGACGCTGTGCTAACGCTGCTGATGCTGCCTCTGCTGCTGGACCGCTGGGCTGGGCAGCGCGCGCCGTGTCGTGACGGCCGGGCTGCGCAACGCCCGATGCACGCTACCCACTCCAGCTCAGGCCGCACTCGAACTCGGCTTAAGGGCGATCGCCCAAGAAGACCACGACGACGCTCTCGTTTTCTTGTGATGGGTGTGCGGGAAGCGGTGGAGGGGGTGTCACGTTAGCGTTTCTTCCGCGGCCCAGAAGCATTCCGTCGGAGGGAGAAGTAATCGACGGGCAGTGCCATGTTATGTAGCAGCACACGTTTGTTCTTAGAAACTCGCGTCGACCGGCGGCCGAACAAATGTACGGCGCCTCTATCCCCTGGCCGCCGTCGGCCGCCCCCCGAGGACCCTCTCCATCGTTGGAAATGAAAGTAATCTGCTCTGTTGGTCTCTGATTGTGAGGTCAGGTTCCGCCCCGGCGCCCACCTGCACCACCTTGCACGCCGCCCCACGCGACCCCGCGGGCCTCGAGGTCCCCGTGCTGCAGCGCCGGCCTCCTCGGCGAGCTGCACGGCACGGGCACGGACTCCCAGCGGCGGCGGCGGCGGCACGGGGCCCAGCCCAACATCAGCTACTTCCGGTCGGACCCGCGGCGACCAGCGCTCCGGCGGGATCGGCTAGGCGGCGGCGGACTGCACTCCAAACTCCTCGCGAGAGTTAGAGAGTGCCGGCATAAGCGCGTGTCCGCGGTAGTGGCGGGGCGCGGCGGGGCGTACCGAGGCCATCATCTGCCGTGCGTAAGGCCGCGAGGGGCGCCCCCCCCCGGCCCCCCTCTCCCGGAGGAGTCAGGGATTCAGCGCACGCCTGTATCTGGATGCAGTCAAGTGCCCGGTATCCCCGCTGGTCCCGGCCGGCTTGGCCCGGTGTGTGACGCCGCCGACCCGTCACCGTCCAGACCAGGACCGGCCAGGACATGGTGCTGGTGGTGGTGGTGGTGGTGGTGGTGATGGCTCCGGCCACTTCGGCCGCCTACCGTGTTTGCCGCTGAACCCTCTCCTTTTCCTCCTCCTGGCTGGGCCTCTGGATATACGGCCGGGCAGCAGCCGCAGGCAAGGCCTAGTAGAGAGGCGTCTGACAAATGCCCCCGCGGTCCGCGGTGTGGCAGCGCGGGACGGGGCGGGGCGGGGCGCGCGGCGCGGTGGGGCGGCCGTCAAGAATGCTGGATGTTATTGCAGGAGACTGGAAAAGAAGGGCGGCGGGGAGCGAGGGAGAGTGAGAGGGATGGTGGATAGGTAGACACGGAGCAGGAGACGAAGCGGCCTGGCCGGGAGTGAATTGGCGAGGTCGGGTGACATTTCGGAGCGCCGTGGTGTCGGGTTGCCTACCTGTCGTGTAAGACAGGCGCTCTTGATTCAGCCTGGCATTTTTTGCTCCATGTTTAACTGATACAGAAAAAAATCAGAAGAAAAATAAATGTCAAAAATAATCTGGGCGTAAAATCCAAATTAAGAATCAGTTCAACTGCTGATAAGGATCCGTTTGAGGATATGTGACCACTTTTTAACCACGTTTTTTCCCAGCGCAAAGTTTTAGTTTTGTGGTTATAAGACACCAGAAATAAATTCCTCTCAACGAGTGAATGTTTCTAATTCAATATTTTTCTATATGTAAGTACCTTGTGTAGATTTGAGTGAGCTGTATCGATCCTGCGGTGGCGCCCTAGAGCGCCGCCGGAGGTGAACGGTTGACGGTCACTACCCCTCCACCGCACCGATCTTTTTCATCTGTGGGTGGTGCTGCTCTTCGCCCGATTAGGTGTTATGAGGTATTTATGGATGCTCTAAACGGGTGACACCCCTCTCCGCCCCAGCCACCGGTCTTTGTCCTCGGTGCTCTTCGCCTGATTGGGTTGGGTGTTATGAGAGGTGTTTGGGCACTGAGTCGCATTGTGCAGGAGCGCTACCAGAGTTACACACACTAAAGCCCTAAAATGAACTACAAAGGCACATAAAAGGGGAGAGGAGGGTGAGGTAGGACCAGGCGGGGTGCTGATAGTGGAGGGGGGCGGGGCGGCCGCCGACGGCTACTGGCCTGCCTCACCCCCGTCCCTCGCCGGTGCGCCCGGGCGGGCGGGCGCGCGGCCGCCGGCGAGCCTCCGCCTCCAATCCCGTGCGTCTATATAGCGGGGCTGCGCCGGCCGTTCTCGGCGTAGTCCTCGCCTGAACCGCTCCCCGACCGCGTGCCCAACACTAACCTGCAGAAATGGTGAGCCTGGTGTCCGGTACCATGGACCAGCGCGCTTGCTCGGGGACGCCTACCTCACCGTCGACCCTCCTTGTACTTGTTCGCAGTCGTGGACCAGGATGGTGGGGTCGCTGGCGATCCTCTACGCCGTGATGGCGCTGTTGCTGCTGCTGCAGGGGGCCACCGCGCTGCGGTCCGTCCGGGAGAAGCAGATCAAGCTGGAGGACATCGAACGCGACAACCTGCAGACGGAGCTGGGCAAGACGCAGCGCGTCGAGCCACACCCCTCGTACCAGCAGCCCCAGCAGCAGCAGCATCAGCCGCAGCAGCAGGAGCAAGAGCAGGTGTACTACCAACCCCAACAGCCCCAGCACCACTTCCGGTACGAGCAGGCGCCCCAGCACCACCCCCACCACCACCACCATCAGCAGCTCGCCCAGCAACAGCACCACCAGCAGCTGCAGCAGCAGCAGCTGCTCTACCAGGCCGCGGCTGCGGGCGGCCACGCCGCCCAGGGGGTGGTGCCCACCCACATCATGTACCTCATCATGCCCAACGGCAACGTGGCGGCCTTCCAGCTCGCCCCGCACCCCAACCACATCCAGGTGAGTCCTTGGCGCAGCACCGAGGTATTTAGTGGAACTGTCAGAGCAACCGAGCGCGAGCGCGTAGGCCATTCTACAAATCAGTTCCGGTTAAGGGAGAAGAACGAACTGGTTTCGGTCCTCCAGAGCAACTATGGTAGATTGATCTGTTGTGATCTGTAGCCTAGAAAATCATGTGGAGTGGTCAGTTGAGCAGTGCGTTTTTCTTTTCTTTGGGAAAATGTGACATCGGAACACCGTATTAAATACATAGAAAAGTTTCTTTCCGGGTTGGTCCCCAAAAACCTAAAAAGGGAAGAAAATATCCAGTATGCACGGGGAGTGACGCCATTCGTGAGTATTTAATCAGTATTAATTTTAAATCCCTTCCAAAAAAAAGCAGTAGTGTGCCCATAACGTATCAGGTCACCGGATGGCGGTTCTCTGTCCCACTGATTCACATCGTGCCCTAAGCGCCTTACGGGCGAGTCGAATAGGCAGACCCGCGGAACACTGCTGGGTGGCGGGCGGGCGTCGTGACAGGCGCCAGGCGCGCGCCGGTTAAGAACCGCGTCTCCAACCCGTAACTAATGTCCCTTTTCATCCCATTTTCACCCAATTTTACTTAAATAAGTATATCGTGGCATACATTATGCCTTCACTAGTTAAACAAAAAATTTGAAAATATTCCACTCCATATCTAGGTGTGGGTGTGGAGCATTACATTGTGTTTAACTGAATTGCGCACTTCGTACTGTTGCAAAAGTTAAGCGTAACTTAACTAATTGCTTGAGAAATATGTAACGTGTGCAGTATGCACACCAATTGACCTCTAGTTCGACACCTCAACTATAAACGTATTATACGTTAAAAGAACCGCAACGACCTGACTTAGATTAATATAGGGAGCTTTTTCTTGATTTCACTAGCACGTAGGTTTTAAACTAAAAAAATCACTGTTTTCGCCCACACACGACAATAATGTCGTTACGTCACTAGAAGTGATCTAAAAGAGGGGGGTTAACACTTTTGTCAGCGCGGCATGTAAAGCGTAAATCACACATGGTCAAGAAAACACGGAAACGTCCGCGCGGAAATTGTGATTCATCGTCGGTTTTATTCGCTGTGGTGGCCGAATGACCCACCCGACCCGCGCTCTAAGTGCTCGGTCCGGACCGCACATTACCGCAGGTCCCGCCGCGGGTCCCACCCCACCGCGAGCGCCGTGCGGGAATGCGGTCTGCCGGAGGTAAAGCTATCCAACACTCCATAATGCAAGTCCTCTCCCCGTGCGGGGCGGGGCGGCCGGGGCGCCACACCTGTCCTGTGGTGCAGGGCGGGACGAGCATGGAGAGCGGGAAGAAGGCTGGGCCACGCGGGAAAGGCTACTCTAGATGTAAATTCTCAGAAAACAAAAGAAATTTAAAAAATACCGGGGGGCTTATTAACCCCGCTGACCGCATTGTGCCTTACGGCCCCGATCGGATAGGCAAAGCAGCCCGGATTCCTGTATGCGGTACAGTACTATACAAAAGTGCGTGGGGTTAGTCAGCCGCTTGGTATATATGGGCCTACATTCACTGGAAACCATAGATTTATTGCTATAAGAAAAAGTTCACGAATGAACAGGTGGTGCATTTTTGAACTGGAATGCCCATCCCAGCCCAGCCCGCGCCGAGGCTGACATGAGGTGCGTGAGACAGTGGCTCAAGTCAGCTCCGGGGGACGGCAGCGCCATGTGTTCCGGGGCTCCGGGCTGCTCCATCTACTCCGTCGCGGCTGATAGGCCTCCGGCCGTCTCCGGCCCTCCGGGCGCCGGACGAGCGGGACCATAAGAGCAGCACGGAGCTCCCGTCCCTTCCGGTGGGAAAGAGAGAGACAAAGAGAGAGGGATTGAGCGAGAGCGCGAGCCAGCCCCGTGAGTGGGAGGTAGGCGGCGGGAGCCCCCGTCCTTGCCAGCGGCCGCGGTGCAGGCCCGCGAAGCCCCCTCCCAATCCCAGTGTCTCCGGTCCGGCATGTCCCGACGCGGTTTTAGCATGCACACGGCCCATTTACGGCGCCACGCCCCGCCCCGCCCCGCCACCACTATACCTCTTCTTTCTTGGCTTTCCCTTTCGCTGGGGCTCGCTGGAGTGTGAGTGTGCAGAGCGGTGCGGTGCGGTGGCTCCGCGACCGGCCGGAAGTAAGTTGATCGCACGGCAGCAATTACTAACACAATCGAGACAACAACCGCCACCTGATTGCAATTATTACAGCCGTCCGCAGCAGCAGCAGTGGAGTTATTTGCGCTGCTTTCGTTTGCAAACTCTTACCGGCAACCGTCTCGCACGCAACTTGTAATTGAGCAGGAAGGGGCCGCGTTATTATTTGCCGGGTTACACTCTTACACTCCCTCTACCCCCCCCCCTCTCCCTCCTCCTGGACGGCGCCAGTTTCCCTGTAATACGTTTAAGCAGGCATTTTAAGTTATTTTCTCCTTTTTAGTCGGTAGTTTACTCTTATTTTCCCCGAAAAGAAACTTACTCTAATTTCAATCTGTTCCCTGCCTGTCCTGCGGCTGCTACCCCGTTCTCTTCCCCGTCGCCGTTCCCCATTGCTTTCTCATTCTCTGTCGTCCCATCAGATTGCTGCGGGGCGGACAGATAGACGGATAGCGCGGCCGCGGCGGGGCGGGGCGTGGCGTGGCGGGGGCGGAGCGTCGCGCGTGGATTGCGTAGAGCGAACGGAGCCCGACTGAGACAGTTTGCTGGACGTGATTTAAGACCCACGGGGAGACTGGCGAATCGAGATGGCGGCGACGACACCCGTTCCCATTTTTTTTGCTCAGTTTAATGCTACAACAACAAGCTCCGGCGGGTTGTTTTCTTTATCATTTTTTTTGCCTTTCTCTTACGTCTGGACGAATAGGCTGGCCCACGGGGAGCAATCATCACCGACATCATTACCATCAGCTCGGTTATTGCGAGGTCCATGAGATCCAGATTACCCCCCCCCCCCCTTTCTCCTCCCGCACGCCCTCACACTCATTGCACTCGATCGCGCTTCCTTACCGCATCGGGACCAGGGGCGGGGCGGAAAGGGGGGGGGGGGCTGCGGTTGAGCCGCTCTATACTTTATTTATACTTATACACCGCACGCCTTATTCCGTCGCGTGGCGTGGCGGGGCGCGGCGGCGGGGAAGCTGTTCCCGTTATTACGTAAGGTCCGGGGGCCGCACGGTCCAGCTCTGCTCTGCTGCTCTGACCGCCGTACGTCAGCCCCGGCCGGCCCGGCGCTGCTGCGGGCAGACTTGGACTGGGACACCTCGCAGTGGTTTTACAGCAGCAGCAGCAGAGCCGCCCCGCACGGCCGGGCCGGGCCGGTCCTATCCCCGGGGGCGGCGGCGGCGGCATCCAGGAACCCCTCGTCGTGACGCAACTCGAGCAAAAGGGCCGCCGCCCGTACGCGCGGCCAGAGAGCAGAGCAGGCCTCGCCCCGCCCCGCCCCTCCAGCCCCCGGGGGCTCCGGCGGGCATAAGGCATCACAGTCGCCGCCGGCCGCCGACGCCGCTCCATCGCACCTTCATTAGGAGTCGCTTGCGCTTTGCACGCCCCCGCCCCGCCCAGCCGCGCTCCTCACGCCCCCGCGTCCTCGTAACGGCACATAACCGCCTCTAGCCGCGGAGGACCTCCGGGCGGTACATTGCGGCGCAACTGTAGAGAATAGCTAGGCTTGGCGGGGCGTGGCGGCGCGTGGCGGGGCGTGGCGGGGCGTGGCGGGGCGTGGCGGGGCGTGGCGGAGCGTGGCGCGACGGGCATGCGCCGACCTCACATCCACATCGTACACACTATCCGTCATGCGTGTGTCGTCTCG